TGGGTTTGAACTGCCAGCCTTCTGGTTAGCAGTCAAGTGCCTTAGGCACTATGCTACCAGAGCTCCTCTTAGATAGGTAGAGACAAGTATTGATTTGAGTGAAGAGAAGGGCAATGTACCAAGTGTGAGTTATCAACACACTGGTATGGAGGAAGAGGAAGACATAGAGATGTACATGGGAAGTACAGACAACAAAGATGAACCCTTTTGGACTTACAATGCTGCGTTGTCAGTGAAGGCAAACATGGATATACAGGTGGATAGATGGGTGGACAGGCTGAACTATTAGGTATGTCTATGCAGGGGGTAGTATGCCCAAGACCATGTATAGGGTTGGCAGAAAATTGTTCTACAAATGTATTGCTATATTCTGTAAGAATTACCAAGTGTATAGTAGAGCTGACAAGGGATAAAGTTGTAGTCAATTTTTGGGCACAGCTAGCTACCCAGAAGGAGGGAGAAGTTGGACCTGTCGGCTTGGGACCATAGTTGCAGGGGACATCAAGCTCAATTGTTATAACATACTACACAAAACATTGTTCCACCTCCAACATTAGCAAGTAACGACTGGGATCTTAAAAGCTTCCAAGTGGCCATCTAGGTGCAATAATGGATCTCTCCTCATCCAGAGCAAAGAAGAATGAAGAAAACTGAAGATCATGTAAACAATTAGTCCAAGTGACTGGTCCACCATGTGATCTTCAGCCTATATAACTACAAGAACAGAAGAACTAGATGGTGCCCAGCTACCTCTGTTAATCACTCGGATAGGGGTCTATGCAGGAGATCCTGCATAGAGTGGGAGAACAATGTTGAACAAAACTCAAAATAATTTGAGGAAAAGGGGGTCCAGGTTTGCTGCTCTGATAGAGCTTGATGGAACCACTGAGACTATGGCTTCTAGCTGCCCTTCAGATCTGGAATTGAACCCATACCTGTGGCTTTCAGTCAAACAAGAGACAGGCATAGAAGGTGAACATTTACACTAGGTAGATACACTCCTTGCATAGACAATCATGAGAGAATAGAAGGGCTGTGTGTGCACAGTGATATAGATCAGGGGCATGAGTGCATGAAGAGAAGGACAGAGGGAAGAAGTAACTATGGGGAGGAAGTGGGAGGGCAGCTGTTGCATTGTGGTAAATTGTAGTCAATGTCATGAGACAAAATGTATGTGAACTGCTGTATGGAAAGTTAATTTGCTCCTTAAACATTTACCAAATCACAATAAAATAAATAAATAAATAAAATAATATATGACTTCTTCAAAGATTTGGAGAGGAATCTATGTAGGAGGTCCTAGATAGAGTTGGAGAACAATGTGGAATAAATTCAAAATCTTAAAAAAAAGAAAAAAAAAGGACTGGCTTTGCTGGTCTGATAAAGCCTGGTGGAACCCCTGAGGCTATGGCCCCTGGTTACCCTTCAGGTCTGTAATTAAACCCACTCCTGTGGTTCCTAGCCAAATGAAAGACAGGCATATGAGCTAAACATTTACATTAGATAGATACACTCCCCGGAGAGATCCATCATGAAAGAATAAAAGGGCTGTATATGTGCACAGGCAGGCAGCTAGGGGCAGGAGTATATAGGAGGGAAGGACACAAGGAAGAGGTGGTTATGGGAAGGAAGTGAGAGGAGAGCTGTTGCATTGTGAAAGATTACAGCAAATGTCATGAGACAAAGTGTATATGAACTGCTGTATGGAAGATGAATTTATTCTGTAAACTTTCACC